ACTTTTAAAATTAAATATAACTTACAATAAAGGGAGGGAAACAGGAAGTAAAAAGGATAAAGATATGATATGCATATTTACCAGTTTCCCATGATGAAAGTATTTATTATGTATCAAAAACATACACTAATGAAAATTTTTTAAAGATAACTTGCAATAAAATACACAAATCTTGTGTCAGACCCTATTAATTTTTACATATAACTCACACAACCAGCACACAGATGAGATTTAAAAATTTTCTGACACTGCAATGCTAGAAAATCCATCACCATAGATTTGTTTTGCCTCTTCTGAACTTCATGTAAATGGAATAATACTGTTCATATTCTTTGTATTTAATTTCTATTTGTCAATACTACATCTGTGAGATTCATCCATGTGATTGCCTGTAACAAAATTTTCCCCAATCATTTGGTAGAATTCACTACATAAATAAACCACCATTTATGTACAAATTCTTCCATTGATAGACACTTAGGTTGTTTTCAATTTTAGTATTAACTATTATTACTTAAATTGCAAACTATTTTTCCAAGAATCACTTTCTCTTAAGGTTCTAGGCCAGAAGAACATGTTTGATGTTATTGGCAGCTAACCTAGACAGAAATTAATATATAGTCAGAGAGGGACTGGACTCTCAAAGAAGTCAGCAGAAACAATAAAAATATCAGAATTGTGGCTGGAGGCAAATCTGAAGAAGATGAGGCCTCAAGATAAAGATGGAATGGCCAGACCTACATGCTTCCCCAAGGGATAAGCAGTAACTTGGAATTTTACTATAAATAGCACCACCTCATCTGGGAAGTCCAGATAGGCCTCAGTCAGTCGTCCAGGTGGGTGGCCAGAGCATCCAGACTCATCCCTTTCCCCAAATGCCTTTGTTCTTTCTGTGTACTCTTACTATGTGACTCACTTCCCCGTTGGACCAATATTAGCTAAGCAGCTATATTTATAATCCTATAGGTTGACTGTAGTTTGATTCACAGTGTATCCACACTGTGACTTTGCTGTATAAATTACTCCTGCCAAAGGGCCTCAGTGGCAACCCACTTCCCGGACTCCTACTGTCTCTCAGGAGCTATCTCTCAATAAACCTTTCCTACTCTTAACCTCCTTTGTCCTTTGGAATTCATTCTTTGATTTCAGGGGACATGAACTCAGCACATCTGACATCTAGCAGGTTGGGAGTTATATTTCTCATGCCAATGTTTGGGAAGAAGTGAAGCAGTGGGCATTGCTCTGAGTGGTCAACAACCAGACAGAGGTGCTCTAAAACTTTGAACCAATAAGGCTATATCCTTTGTTGATGGAGGTGTATGTGTAGGAGAATGTGTTCAAATTTTACACTGTTTTCAAGTCTTTCCAGGTTTTTTTTAATCAGGCCCTTTTGAGTTTTGTTTATATCCAGTTCCTGGTTTACTACTCTCATAACCCTTGTCATTTTTCAAGTCATTACAATAATTTTGAAGCACTTTAAGTCTCAGGTGCAGGCCTCAGAAAGCTCTCTCTCTGCCTCCCTCCCTCCTTCCTTCATCTTCCCTCCTTTTAACCTGGTCCTTTTTCTCCCCAAGGTAAGAAATAGAAACTAGAATTTCTTTTCCCTAAGGTGGATAATAGAAACTATAATTTTCCCCTATTTTTCTTAAAGCTGGCCATAAAGAAATTTTCTGACCTACTTTCTCTAATAGGTCATGAAACCCTTTTCCAGAATGTTCTTGCCTCATACCCATGAGGCAGAAATGCTGAAGAATTTGAGCAGACAGGACTTGCTGGTTGTCCTCCTCCAGTCTATTAGCAATCATGCCTGTGCAATGAAGTCTTCATAAAAACCTCAAAGAACAGGATGTAATGAATTTCCTGAGAGCTGAACATATGAACATTCTACACCTGGAGAGGGTATGAAAGTTCTGTGCTTCTTCCCCCATACCCTTGCCTTATGCATCTCTTTACCTGTATCCTTTGCAATTTCCTTTAACCCAGTCAACGTGTTTCTAATTTCTGTAGCCACTCAAGATAATTAATCAAATCCAAAGGGTGGGTTGTGAGAACCTGCTTATATTTGGTCAGAAGCACAGGTAAAACAACCTAGGGCTTGCGATTAGCATCTGAAGTGGTGGTGGTGGAGCAGTCTGGGGACCGAGCAATTAACTTGTGGGATCTCATGCTATCTCCAGGTAGTATCAGAATTGCCTGGAGTTGGAGTTACTCAGCCTGTGTCTCTATAGAATTGCTTGTTTGGTAACTGGTGGGGAGTAAATGACACATATGGTGGGATCACAAAAGTTTTCTGTGTTGATTGTTGTGATGTGAAAGTACAGGAAAAAAAAAACTCTTTCCCAATTCAGTATCCTAAGCACATGCATGCGGTCTCAGTCCAAAATATGGTTGCTCAACCAGGACTGCAATATCAAGATAGCTGGGCTAAGCCCTTGACATTCTCCCTTTGGCCAGCATTCAGGATGTCATTTCTGTTTAAAATGTTTCTGGGATGTGTTACCTACTCCTTAAAATTGAGGGAGTCTTCTTCAGGGGACAGAGAAGTTGTCAATCTTCAAAACACTGAATTTTTCAACCTTTTAAAATTATATTTTATTTTTAAATTTTTTTTAGTACCAGGGATCATCAAACTTAGGACCTTGAGCTTGCAAGGCAGGCGGTGGCACCACTGAGCTAAATCCCCAGCCTTTAAAATTACATTTTAAATAATTTTTTCATTCTTAAGTCCTTTTGATTCATCTATTAATAAATTTGAAATCACTAAATTAATTATAGGAATAGTTCAAAGCCCTTTGATTTTTGTTTCTTTGTAGCCAATATATTTTTCCTGCTTGTATCCTTAAAGCATGGTCATGAGTTTAATCAAGCTATTCAGAACAGGTCAAACTGAAAGGGTATGTGCTTAGAATGAGGAATATCAGCTGTTTCTGGCAGAAAACCTCATATGTGAGAACTTGTCTAATCCACAAGCTCTCTACATTTTGGGGTCTGAAAACACATCAGAAGAGATAAAAAAACATGGGAGTTACTTATACTGTATATACCTTTGGGGGGTACTGGGAATGATGATGTAGTAAAAATGAAAAAAAGAGAATGATGAATCCATTAAAAATAGTCTTTAAGAACGCTCAATTTACAAAGGAAAAAATAAGGAGCAAAGATGAGCAGTTTGGATCGCAAGAAGTTAGAGAATATAATGTATGTTATGTTGCCCACATTCCACCTCATCCTATCATATTCTCATTTCTTGTAGAGTTAACACTAAGAAATCCCAGCTCAACTTTCAGTAAAAACCACTATTATTTGTATTACTATATTAAAATGATTAGCATGGTTTACTAGATATTCAGAGTATATGAGCTTGCTTTAGTTAAGTAATAAATGACATAGTTGTAGATCTTGGCTAAGTACTGATAAGTAAAACAAAAATGAAAAGAGATTAACTGAAGGTAGGCTAGAGAAAAAAGAGAGAAAGTAGGAAACAATAAAGCCAAAACTTGTATAAATTTTTAAAAAAGAAAAGAAAAACTATACAAATTTCAGTGGCAAGAAGTAAAGTTAACTAAAAATTTTTCCATAATTTCCAAAAGCAAACAAGTTTTTGGCAAGTGAGTAGTAGATTCAGACATGGAACATTTAGCCCTAAAATAGGGTTAGCAAGAATTAAAGACGAGGAAATGTACAGTATACAGTAAGTTAAACCAACCTGAAAAGGCTATATGTTATATATGTCATTTAATCTTAATTATCAACTTGACTGGATTCATAGACTCCTGGAGAGGTGACTGGATCATGGGGGTACTAAACTCATCAGTGGATTAGTCCACTGATATACACAGCTGAATGTGCTCTTCGAAGGTAGGGGTCACTGAGGATGTGCCTGTGGAGGGCCTGTCTCTCACTGGCACTCTTCTCTTGTCTCGGCTTCCCAGCTGCCATGGAATGAGAAGCTTTTCTCCACCATGCCCTTCTGTCATGATATTTCTGCCTTGGAGTCAGCCAACCATGAGCTGAAACCTCTCAAACTGTAAGCCAAATTAAACCATCTCCTCCTTTAAGTTGCAAGTGTCAAGTATTTTGTCCCAACAAAAGGAAAGTTGACTAATACACTGTATGATTTTAGTTATATAACATTCAGGAAAATGCAAAATTATATAGAGATGTAAAAATATTAGCAGCTGTCAGAGGTTAGAAAGAAAAGAGAAATGAATGGGCAGATCAGAGATTTCTAGGGCAGTGAAATTATTCTGTATGTTACTATAATGATGGATACATGTTATTCCTAAATATATTTGTCAAAAAACCATAAAACATACAACATCAAAAGTGAATCCTAATGTCAACTATGGATTTCAGATAACAATGGTGAAAGTTCATCAATTACAACAAACATAGCACTACGCGTGTGAGACACTCATAGTGGAGTCAGAAGACATAGGAACTCTCTAAATTTTCTGCTCAATTTTGTTATGAACCTAAAACTGGTTAAAAAAGATTTTTTAATTGTAGGTCATGACATTCAACTATGATTAAATATTTATCATTTCTTTCAAATTCAAAGATATTATAAATATTAGTTATCTCAACACTTAACTGCTTGTGTTTCTTCTGAAAACAAAAGAAAATGATAACAGAACAATATTTAATTGAAATAAGTATTTAACTTCACCCTAAATTATAGTTTAATTTTGTCAAGAATTAAAGTACTTTAAACCATAATTTAAGGAACATCAGATAGACAAGGCTCGGGGATACAACTAAAATGATGGACATTTATTATAAATTAATAGTTTTGGTGTTTCACAATTGGAGACAGCAGTGCGGTAGAATAGAGCACTGAATTTAGACTCTAGACCACTGATCTACCACTTATTAACTAATAATACCCAGGGTAAGTCACCTACCCTCTGACTCTTCTTACCAGCATCTACCAATGTCATAAAAGTTTTGTTAAGATTAAATGAAGATAACACATCACAAGTCTGGTACTCAATAAAAAGTTTTAAAGTTTCAATCAAATTTAATTTCTTTTATCATCAAAAGTATCATATTTTCCTTACTCTTAGGAGTCTTTATTTTAATACAAAATAAACACATGCCTTGTAAAAGTTATATTTATAGATAAATATTTCTTCAGTCATCACTGTCACTTCCTGAGTCACTCAGCTGCAAATCATTACCTAAAATAAAAAAGAATAAAGCTGTAATTAAATATTTAAAATATTAATATTTAATACACTAATTTTTATAATAACAAGTATACAACAAAGGGACTGTTTAGCTAGCATTGTGTAATTAATAATCAGATTGCTTATCAAGTAATTTAGTTACATAATTAATAACTCAATACTACCTGGAAAGAAAAAACATATACTATGAAACTTCAGGATAATTTCAGTATCCCCTAACATTTAAGCCTTTTTTGCATATCAACATCATTCTTTATTATATACCATTCACTTATTACATCAGGAAAAGAAAGAATGTTGAGAGTTTAGCAAATTGGGATATCTTTTTTGTTGTAGTTGTTTGTTTTTGAAATAGGGGCTCACTATGTAGTTCAGACTGGCATTGAACTCACTATACAGCCCAGTCAGGCCTTGAACTCACAGCGATCCTCTTGCCTGAGCCTCCTGAGTGCTGTAATTGCAGGCATGTGCCACTGCACCAGCAGGCTCAGGTCACCATTTTGAACAATGGAAACATGCTATCTAATTTTTTACTTAAAGTGCAGTCAAAATTCATTAACATGTCAAGAATACAAGTGTGTCATCATTTATTGCTTTTGTAACTCTTGTGTGTGTTGAGTTATAGAACTTACATTATCTTTTTAGTATATTATCCATTGATTTTTGACTGTGACATAATGCCTTCTGGATTTTGCTCTTATCTTTCTAGATACCCTTACATCTTCCTTTTTGCCTGAATTTTAGATTATAAACAGTATGACTACCCCATTAGTTCTTACTTTTTTAATTACTCATGTTTATATATACTTACGTAGAGTATTCATCAGAAAGCCACTGTTGTCATGAAATCTCTCACGACCAGCATCTGTATCAGAAGTCCTGGACTGTGGTATGGCAGACATGGTAGGACGCCCTGAGATACAATTCCCTGGATTAGAAGACCTGCCCTCTTCATCATCTGATTCACTAGAACTATCTTCACTACTTGATGATGATGAACTTGTGGAATTTGATGAACTATCGCAACTACTCATCTGGTCCATTAGACTAGCTTCTGCCTTTAGTTCTAGAAATAGAAGAGAAATAGGTACATTAAATAAATAATACTGACTAAAGATAATAAAATTCAATTAGTTTCTTTTTTTATATTAGTATATAAGAAATCCTTATTGAAAAATAAAGAAAACCAAATACATTTATACCATCTAAAGCATTTTATTTTAAAAGAACTCCTAAATCATTAAGTCACACTTCATTGATGAAACTATAATTAAGACATAGGCAATGTCTAAATTTCAACTCCACATGTATTTACACTACTGTCCTTCATATCCATGTAACTCAAATAATATATCATGATGTGAAAATTAAAATTTATTTCAGCAGAAACTATCTTCTAGTTTTTTTCTTATCCCCTTACTATATACAGTACAAGTGTATACACACAGATGAATTTCATTCTTCCCCTAGTTCCCCTAGATAACATTTTGATGAAGCATCATTTTAGGTTTCTGCTATTTCCTTAATGGTGACTTAAAATATTCTAACATTTTTTGAAAAGACAGTTCCAATTATAATTTTGGTTTTAAATATGTCTGTAGATAAAAAATCAATAATGTTGATATTTTCTTAGGTTTAGTAAGACACACAATTTATGGTTGGAAAGATTTTAGCTATGCAACCTTACAAGTTTTCAAATTATGTAGATATGGAATAGCAAAAACTTGCCAGCTACTCAGTAGAGCCAAGTCTACTGACTTCAGGTCAGGGTTTGTCCATTATTTGTCTAGATACAAATGTCAAATAGTTGAAAAAAAATTTTAATGCAAAAAACCCAGAATAAAACTAAATAATATACTCAGTTAACACATTGTCATTTAATATCATCTTAGTACACTGCATATTAAGTTTACTGATAATTTCTAGCTTACTCCCTCATTCTCCTAGAGACACTTGGCTTTCATTCTATTATTTGACTATGTCTAATCCACTTACATCCTAAATTCTTTTTTTCTAATTGATACATGTTTATAGTACATAATGATTATAATCATCATGGGGAATTGGTACATGTCTAGTACATAATCTTAATTCTTTTTTAAGCTCCTCCCCCATCCTCCCTATCCTTTCCCTGTCCTGCATCTCTTGGGCCCCTTCATACATACATATACATACATATATATACACACATGCATGTACACATATCTATATAATGCACATACGCAACACTTTACAACCTTATCCTTTTCTTATCTCATTTCCCTCCCTTCTCTCCTCCTCCCCCCTCCCTCCAGCTCTTGTTTCGTTTCCCATATGCCAGCCAAAGATCCATATCACTATTGCTTATTTTCTATCTTTATTTTGTACTTTAAATTTTGGGTTCTTATGTAAGAGAAACCATGTGATATTTAAGATTGATTGTGTGTCTGGGGCCGGGGATTTAGCTCAGTGGTGTCACCACCTGCCTCGCAAGCGCAAGGTCCGGAGTTCGATCCCCAGTACCCACCCCCCTCAAAAAAGATTGTGTATCTGATTTCACTTAACATTATAGTCTCAAGGCACATCCATTTTTCTACAAATGACTCAAGTTTATCTTTATTTATGGCAGAATAGTACTCTAGTGTGTATAAACACCAAATTTTCTTTTTTTAAAAAATTTTATTTTATTGGTACATTTTAGGTATACAATATAATGACATTCATCATTGGAAATTTGCACCTTCACATAACCTCTCTTGGTTCCTATTTTTTCCCCCTTTCCCTGCCCTACCATCAAACCCTCCATCCTTCCCTATTTACAAAGACTTTGTTTCCGTTTTAAAATTTTCTCATATTAATTCCATTCCCTTCTTTCCTTTCCCCTACCCCTCCCAATTCCCCTTCCCTTTTGCCCCTTTTTTTCCTATTTCACATTATCTATTATACCTTTTAGTCCTTGTTTACACTTTCAGTTTCTCACACTAGAGAAACTATTCAGTATTTACACGTGTCCTATTTATTTCACTTAAGAGTATCGCCTCAATTGTGCATCCATTTAGCAATAAATGTCTCTAATTCCTCGTTTTTTATGGCTAAGTAGTACTCCATTTTATTAAAAAACCACATTTTCTTTATCCAGTCTCCAGTTGATGGGCATTTGGACTGTTTCCAAGTTTTAGCTATTACAAACTGTGCTGCTATGAACATGGGTGTGCATATATCACTGTGGTATGATTCTTTTAACACCACATTTTCTTTATTCATTCATCTGTTGATGGACACACAGGCTGCTTCCAAGATTTAGCTATTTTGAATTGTGCTGCTATAAACATGAGTAGGCTTGTATCACTGTAATATGATGTCTTTAACTCACTGTGGAAGATACCTAGAGGGGAATAGGTGGGTTGAAATTTCTAGTTTTATGTTTTTGAATCTCCATATTTAATGGCTGTACCACTTTACACTCCCACCGACAATGAAGAATTATTCCTTTTTCCCCACAGCTTCTCCAGGATTTGTTATTTGATTTCTCAAAGATAACCATTTTTTTTTCTGGAATTGCCAGTGATACTGAATATTATTTCATGTATTTATTGGCCATTTGTACTTTGTCATCTGAGAAGTATATATTCATTTCAGATGCTCATTTTTTAATTGGGTCTTTAAATTTGTTGGGAAGGTCTAATTTTTTTGAGTTCTTTATATATTCTAGATATAGTACTCTGAGGAGTAGCTCACACACACAAAATTTCCCATTCTGTAAGTTGCCTCTTCACTCTGTTGGTGGTTACCTTTTCAGTGTTGAGGCTTTTTAATTCAATGTGATACCATTTGTTGATTCTTGGTATTATTTCTTGTGCAACTGGGGCTCTGTTCAGACAGGTGTTGCCTATACCAATGTCTTCAAGTCTTTCATTTATTGTGTCTTCCAGCAGATTAAGTGTTTTGGATTTAATAATTAAGTCTTTGATTCATTTTTATGTTAGTTTGGTGCATGGTGAGAGACATGGTTCTAGGTTCATACTTCTGCATGTGGATAGCCAGTTTTCCCAGCACCATTTGTTAAAAAGGCTCACTTTAGGGCCGGCGATTTAGCTCAGTGGTTCTAGCGCCTGCCTCACAAGCACAAGGTCCTGAGTTTGATCACTGGTACCAAAAAGAGAAAAGAATACTCACTTCACAAAAAAGCTCTCTTTTCTCCAGAGAAAGTATTTTTCCCCTTGTCAAATATAAGGTAGCTGACTGCACCTGGCATTGTTTCTGCATCCTCTATTCCAGTGATGGTGAATCTTTTAGAGACCAAGTGCCCAAACTGCAATCTAAAATTTGTCAAGAGCCATTCTACATAAATTTTGGGGGGCAAATCATTTAATAATTAAAGTGTGACTATAGCCATCTAAAACTCAATGTCACCTTGCCCAAGGGCTGGCTATGGCATGCAGAAACAACTCCGTTTTGCCTCTAGTCACAAGTTGAGGCCTCAAAGATTCCATGATACTGTGATGCTCAAGGGCAAGAGTACATCAGCTGAAGACATCCTGATTCTTCGAGAACTGAGTAGTAATAAAAAAAAAAAAAGAGAGGTTTCACCTGGGGGAAGGACAACTTCTTTATTAGACTGCTATCTTGTCTCACCTACTATTTAAAGAATGCTCTCCTTGGGCAGGGGATTTAGCTCAGTGGTTCCGCCACCTGCCTCTCAAGCACAAGGTCCCAAGTTCGATCCCCGTAACCACTCCTCTAAAATAATGCTCTCTTAGGGCCGGAGATTTAGCTCAGTGGTTCTGCTGCCTGCCTCGCAGGCAGTTCAATCCCTGGTACCAAAAAAAAACAAAACAAGAATGCTCTCCTTACCACCTTCATCAGCATAAAATTGGAATAGGATCACCATAGCCCCCTAAGTCACCTGATGTTCCCTCCAGTTACTGTGTGTACCCAATAAATAATGGCTAGCTAGGAGGGTCTTTATCTTTGCCTGCTCTGAGGCACTGACCTCCTGGTCCCCTATGTACTTTGAAATTACGCAAATCTCTACTGTCTTTAGCCCTCAGCACCTCCCTTTCTAGGCAGTAGGAGGACTGATCACCCTCCGATAAAAATTCACTTATTGCAAAGTGCTAACATTGCAACTAAACCTGAATACTGAGGTTTTGGTTTAGAAAAAAAACAACTCCTACAACTCAAGATATCATCACAGAGAGGGCTCTGTGTGCACACTGCAGCATTTGTGCCATAGGTTCACCACCACTGCTCTATTCTGTTCCAGTGATCCAGGAGTCTTTTTCCCAAAGCCAAGCAGTTTTTATCACTGCAGCTTCGTAGTATAACTTCAAATCTGGGATTGTGATGTCTCCTACTTTGTGCTTGTTACCCAGATTGTTTTTTGCTATTCTAGGTCGCTCCTGAATCCATATGGATTTTAGGATTGTTTTCTCTAGTTCTATGAAGAGTGCTATTGGAATTTTGGTTGAGATTGTATTAAATCTGCATATCAGTTTTGGAAATGTGGCCATTTTGACTATATTGGTTCTGCCTGTCAAGGAACACATGTATCTTTCCATTTTCTGATATCCCCTCCAATCTCCTTTTTCAGAGTATGGTAGTTGTCACTGTAGCATTGTAGAGGGCTTTCACTTCCTTGGTTAATTCTTAAGTATTTAATTTGTCTTGATGCTATTGTGAAATGTTTTGTTTCTCTAATTCCTTTCACAGTGAGCTCACATTGGTGTACAGGAACACTACTGATTTTTGAGTGTTTATTTTGTATCCTGCTACACTACTGAATTGGATTATTAATTCACGAGACTTTTGGTAGAGGTTCTGGGGTCTTCTGCATAGAGTATCATGTCATCTGCAAGTAATGATAATTTAACTTCTTCCTTTCGTATGCACATCCCTTTTATTTCTTTCCCTTACCTGATTGCTTTAGCTAATGTTTTGAGAACTACATTGAAGAAGATTGGTAACAAGAGTGTCTTGCTCCTGATTTTAGAGGGAAAGCTTTCAGTTTCTGCCCATTCAATATGACGATGGCCATTGGTTTGCCATAGATGGCTTTTATCAGATTGAGATAAAGACCTTGTATAC